GCGGGAGGGCCGAGGACCTCACCCCCCCCACGGGCCGGGTCTGGCCATCCGCAGAGCGCCCCCCCTTCCGCCGCGGCCGCCGCGCCCCTCCTCGCCCGCCCCCGGCTCGGTCCGGCCGGCTCCGGGCGCCGCGTCTCCGCCTGCTCTTCCTCCTCCTCTTCCTCAAGCCGCCGCCGCCGCCGCCGCCACCGCCGCCGCCGCCGCCGCCGCCGCCGCCCGCTCCGCGCCTCCTCTGCCACCCTTCTCGCTCTCTCGCTCTCGCTGTCTCTCCCTCACCCTGTCTCTCTCTCCCTCCCTCTCTCCCTCCCTCCCCTCCCTCCGCCCTCTCCCCTCCCTCCGGGAGCCGGCAGAGGAGACATCGCCCCTCCCCGCGCCCCCAAACCTCACCCATCCCCCCACCGCCGGCTCCGCCCCCTACCCTTTCCCTCCCCCACAACTCTTCTCCACCTCCAGGTCCCCAAATCCTGACTCCACCCCTGCTCGCTCTCATACCCCAGTGAAGGGGTCCGGCCCCTCTAAGGGCTCCTCACACACGCCCCAGGACTGCCCCTCCCAGAGAGCTCCCACCCCCTCTACACACTGCGGGGTGCAATAAGTGTTGCCAGACTCTACACCCCCAAGTTGGATTGTGAGGGCTGTAGATTTCTGTCCTGTCCCCCCAAACACACACACACACACACACCCCTTCCACCTAAGCACAGGGGCAGGGCACACGTGCACACTCCTGGGACAGGCCCACGTTCTACCGAGACACAGGTGCACAAAGTCACCAGCTGGCACAGCACTTGCAGACATTCCCGCACATACACACTCTCCGGGGCATGCACACCCGGACACAATGCACCTGGAGGCACATGACCATGTACGGGTCACACCCCTGCGCCAGGGCATACACGCAGCACAGTGCACGTATCTGCCTACCACGGACGAGTAGCAGGCAGGTATGCGTGCTGAGGTCTCACAACCCTGAGATGGAGACACCCCCCTGTAGGGAGATGTGTGCATGCCTGTCCATCACACCGTACGCACACACCTGTGTAGATGCACGACAGCCCACCAGAGAGCCCCTCCAAGATGGTGATTGCTGTCATTCCTTGAGCGCCTCCTGTGTGCCAGGCTTGGGGACACTTGCTGTTCCCGTTTTTTCCACAGGGGGAAACTGAGGCACAGAGAGGCTAAGTAACTTGGCCAAGGTCAACCAGCTGTCAAGAGGTCGTGTCAAGGATCGGGGATGGGTAGGCTGGCTTCAGAGTCTTCACTTGACCACTGTTGTGCACTATGGGCACCCCCATAGTTGCATGTCCTTGTTCAGACATGCTCGACCATCTCCTCAGAGCTCACACACATGTGTGCACATGCACATGTGGCCAGCTGTGTGCAGACAGCTCCCTCACGGCTGCAACACATCCACAGAGACAGGGCAGATCCCATAAGGCAGCGGTCAGTCCAGGCTTCCACCTTCTCCCAAATCCAACAGCACCCCCAGGGCCTCCGGCCAAGCACAGGCACCTGCAGGGGGCAGTTCTAAGCAGTCTCTGGGTTCACCTCAGCCTCTGGGTCCAGCTGCACGCTCTCCAGGGTATGCTGGTATGAGCTGGAGCAGGTGCTCGCCCAGCCTGGGGCAGCCCCTATCTTGATACACACCCACCAGCCCAGGTGGTGAGCAGCTGGGCCTGGAGAGAGAACAGCTGCCCGTGTTGGTGCCAGCACTGAGAGAGGCTGTGTACCCCTCTACAGTTTGCAAGGCCTTTCCCAACCTATGCATTATCCCTCGAGGTCTCTGTGCCCTGGAGCAGGGCCCCCAGGCCTCTGATCAGCACCTAAGAGGCCCGGCCTCCGAGGCCGAGGCCGTGAGCAGCCTGACCAAGGTCACACTGCCCTCAATGTACCAGGCTTTCTTAGAAAACGGAAGGCTGGATTTGTTGATTTCCAAGGCCCCTCCTGGGGCTCTGGGCAGCTGAGGGCAGATATCCTGCTCTTGCTTGGAGCCAGAAGCCTTGGCTAGTTGCCTCCACGCTGGTGACCTCCAGCAGGCTACACTGTCCCCTCTCAGAGCCTTGGTTTCCCTCTTTGAAGAGCGGGCCCAGTGATCCCTGGCTGGTGAGCTCCATGCTCGTTGGCACAACCAACCAGGCCTAGGCTGGAAAAGCCCTGCATGACTCACAGGCCTGGCATGGAGGGGCATGACATGGCCTCCTGATTCCCTGGCCTCCGAGCCACTCTCCCACTCCCCTCACCACCTCCACCCTGACTGCGTCTAAACACAGAGGTGAAGCCCCCAGGCCTTCGGCCAAGGCATTACCTGCTACCTCCTTACTCATACAAGATGGATTGGGCACCTGCTATGCGCTAGGGGGCCTGGTTCTAGCTCTGGGAATACAGCCTTGCAGAAGAATCCTGCCTCCATTGGTAGGGGACAGACATAAACAAACAAGATCATGTCAATCTTGATTATACCAAAAAGATAAAATGGGGCCTTTTCATAAAGTAACTTGCGGAAAGGAAGCTTCTTTAGGAAAGGTGGCTGGGGAAGGCTTCTTGGAGCTGTGATCTCAATAATGAGAAGGAGCTGGGGAAGAGCTTTCTAGAAGGAGGAGAGGGCTAGTGCAAAGGCTCTGAAGGGCAATGAGCTTAGCATTCAGGGAACAGCAAAGAGGCCAGCAGAGGCCTGGGGCAGAGGGGAGGGGGGAGGTTGCAGAGCTGCAAGGGGTTCCTCCCTCCCAGCCCTGAGCTGTGCTGGCTGAGGGCAGGGTTTGGCTTCCCTCCTGCCTGTGATGGGAAGGTGGAGGAGCAGGGGAGTGGGGAGTGATGTGATCTGATTTATGGTTTGGAAGAATTGCTCTGGCTGCTGCGGCAAGCAGCGGGATTGGAGGGGCTCAGGAGAAAGGGAGGAGGGGGAGGGCAGGGAGCCGGTGACTGCAGTGGTCCAGGCTGGGATGAGGCAGCTGGCTAAATGCTCAGAGCTCTCTCTGTGCACCCAGCTGGGCACCTGTCTATTCCACCTCCTGGAGAAACCTTTCCTGACCGCTCTTCCCCACTTCCCACCCTCTGCCTGACTCCCTCATCCTGGGGGACTATCTGGCTGCTGGTCTGCAAGAAGCCGGGATGCCCAGCATCACCCTGCCCAGGGCCCCACCTGCAGAAGGCTTCTAGCAAAGTGGGGCCGATGAATCCTGGAGCCCCACCTTCCAGGGTTGTGCACACAGCACACACATGTTCTTCACATGTGTCCTCACAGACACATGCACACTCACTTGCATCTCCTGGCAAGGGCTTGGAATGTGGGATGGGTGATCTGGGGGCAGGAGGCACCCTGCAGCCTGAAAGTGGTGGAAGAGTCTCTCCTCCATCAGGGTGCGTGGGCGATGGTGGCCACAGGGTAATGACAACCTCAGCAAGACCCTGAGGTCTGCCTCCTCCTTAGGAATGGCCTGGGCAGGGGGCAGTGGAGAAGGGAGCCGGGCTGAGACCGAGCACCCCACCATTGCCCAGTTGGTCCTGAGGAGGTCCCTGGGTCCAGGGGCATGCTGTCCCCAGGATCAGCTGGAGAGCCGGTTCCATTCTCTCCCTGACCATCCGAGCTTTGGGCCACGGCAGAAGGAACAAGCAGGGCGGAAGTGAGCTCTGGAGAGTGGAAAGAGGGGCGTGTGTGAGAAGACCCAAGGCGGGATCCAGGCTTTGGAACGTTGGAGGTTTCCGGCCACAAAGGCAGGGCCTCCGGGGAGCCAAGAGGGGCGGGGAGAGACACACACAGAGGAGCAGAGGAGATCAGAGGACTGACGGGGACAAGAGTGGGGAGGAGAGAGGGACAGGAAGAGAGAAACTGAGAGAGCAGGGGACCAGGGGGCCAGTGATCTGCACACAGGGCAGGGGGTGCTTGCCAGTCCCCAGAGACCACCTCCCACCCCAGACATCGAGACATCTGCGACCCGATGCACGCAGCCTGGCTTTTCGGGGCCTTGGTGATCCCCCAGCTCTTGGGCTTTGGCCATGGGGCTCGGGGAGCTGAGCGGGAGTGGGAGGGAGGCTGGGGAGGCGCCCAGGAGGAGGAGCGGGAGAGGGAGGCCCTGATGTTGAAGGTGAGCTGTGGGGTGGGAACTGTAAGGGCGAACTCGGAGCTTGGGAGGGGTTGTTTCAGGATGAGGGAAATGGGCAAGGGGGAACGACGGGGACAGGTTCAGAGGACGGGGGTGATGGGTTCAGAGAGAGGACTCAGGAGGCAAAGAGTGAGTTTAGAGTTGGAGGGGAGAGCGCGCGGCGTCTCTGGAGGCAGGCTGGGGCAGACCACCCCTCCCCGACCCCAGCATTTGCAGGAAGCCCTGGGGCTGCCAGCTGGGAGGGGGGATGAGAATCCAGAGAATCCAGTCGGGACCGAGGAAGGCAAAGGGACCTGGGAGATTGAGGAGGACCAGGAGGAGGAAGAGGAGGAGGAAGCAACGGCAACCCCCTCCTTCAGCCCCAGTCCCTCTCCCACCCCTGAGGACACCGTCACTTACATCCGTGAGTAACCAGAAGTCCCACCCTGACCCCAGACCTCCGCAGTCACTTTCACAAAAATGAATCGTCAGTTCACTGCCCAGTGGCCTTTCAGTTGCCCAACGCCCAGCCCTGAGCCCCCACATCCCTAAACGTCCCGGGTCTCGGGCCTCGCCTCCCAAGAGCCAGGGCCACTAGACCGCTCCTTCCAGGAATCCCAGGTCCCCTCCCCCAACCCCGCCCTCAGGAGCCCTAGGTCCCGGTTCCCCGAGGTCCTCCGGTCCCCAGGCTGCGCCCAGGCTCCCCCTCTAGCGCAAGCGGTGTCTGTCCTCAGTGGGCCGCCTGGCCGGCCTGGACGCAGGCCTGCACCAGCTGCACGTCCGTCTGCACGCGCTGGACACTCGCGTGGTCGAGCTGACCCGGGGGCTGCGGCAGCTGCGGGAGGCGGCGGGCGACACCCGCGACGCTGTGCAAGCCCTGCAGGAGGCGCAGCGCCGCGCCGAGCGCGAGCACGGCCGCTTGGAGGGTGAGTCCGCGCCGCGCCGGGCGGGAAAAATGGGACGATCTGGGCCAGATGGGGGACCGGTGAGAGGACCGGCCCCCGAGAGGTCTGAGGAGAGGTGAGGACCCTGGGGGTCGGAGGCGGGAGCGGCCCTGGCAAGCTGGGTTTGTTGGCGCATGGGGAGGTGAGCTGGCGGGGAGGGTGAACGGGGGGGCAGGGCGGGCGGTGGGCGAGGCATCCCTCTAGCTCACAGCCGCGCGGACCCCGCTCGGGCCGCGCCACGCCCCCCACAGTCCCGCCCCGACAGTCTGGCCCCGCCCCCGGCGGGCCTGATTCTCCGCCTCATTGCTCCCTGCGGTTTCTGATCCCGCCTCCTCCCGGCCCGCCCCTCGGAGGCCCTGACCCCGCCTCCTCCCCGCCCCGCGACGTCCTGGCCCCTCCTTCTCCCCGCCCCCGAAGGCCATGAGCCCGCCTCCTTCTCGCCCCGCCCCGCCCGCAGGCTGCCTGAAGGGGCTGCGCCTTGGCCACAAGTGCTTCCTGCTATCGCGCGACTTCGAGGCGCAGACAACGGCGCAGGCGCGGTGCGTGGCGCGGGGCGGGAGCCTGGCGCAGCCCGCCGACCGCCAGCAGATGGAGGCGCTTACTCGCTACCTGCGCGGGGCGCTCGCTCCCTACAACTGGCCGGTTTGGCTGGGCGTGCACGACCGGCGCGCTGAAGGCCTCTACCTCTTCGAAAACGGCCAGCGCGTGTCCTTCTTCGCCTGGCACCGCGCGCCCCGCCCCGAGCCGGGCACCCGGCCCAGCGCTGCGCCGCACCCGCTCAGCCCCGACCAGCCCAACGGCGGCGCGCTCGAGAACTGTGTGGCGCAGGCTTCTGATGACGGGTCCTGGTGGGACCACGACTGCGAGCGGCGTCTCTACTACGTCTGCGAGTTCCCCTTCTAGCCGGGCCGGTTCCCTGGCTCTGCCACCACACCCGGCCTTTGCCTGCGCCGTGCATCCTCCACCCTCCGAGAACGCCCTTCCTTCCCTGTCCCCCGGCTGGGCGCTCCCGGGAGGGCTCCAGCGGGCCTGAGACCCCTCCGCGGCCTTTGCCTGAAGCGGTGGGCACCAGGCTAGGTCCGTCCGATGCCAATAAAGCCTTCTGGAATCAGACTTGAGGGGCAGTGGAAGCGCTTTTGGCCTTTAACTCACCGCAGGGAAAGCTAGGAAGGGCCAGACCCTGGCCTTTGGGTGCCTGTCCTGTTCTGCTTTTACAGGTATTTGAGCCTCAGAGTCAGAGTGATGGAGAACACATGTGCATATGTATACACGGTCATCTGCTCCTGCACGCTGATGCCCAGAGTACACACGTGCACACTGCAGACACCTCCATCTTCATGGTGCCCCATCTCACGGCCTTTGAGACCCAGGGCCTGTCAATCATTGTTCCAGGCCTTGGCCTCTGTTCTGGTCAAAGAGATCTGGGAAACACAAAGGAACTAAAGGCTCTGACAAGTCCTGCAAGAAAGAGCCCGTTTAATTTTGTTTAGTATGTCCCAAACTTGTTTCCCTAGGTGGTACCGTTTCATGTAACATCAGGCCCTGGTCTGAGGTGAGAGACCCCCCTACTCCTTTTCCTCTCCTTCACCCCTAGGGGCACATGTGAAGACACAAACTTAAGGTCCCATTCAACGTTGAAGCTTATGCTCCATCCTAATACTCTCTCCTTTACTTCCTGCCTGTGAGACCATGAGCCAGTCCCTTCCCCTCTCTGAGCCTGTTTCCTCATGTGAACATGGGCACAGTTACCCCCTACTTTGTGTGGCTCTTGGGATGTTCAGGCGAGGCCAGGAAAATGTGCATTTGGGAAATGGTTGAACGTGAGCCACACACTACCTTCCTCCCTCACTATTTTTCATACTTTTCTTCCCTGGAGGCAGTAAAGACACCCAGGAGTCAGCCAGTCTGGGCCTCAGCATTGCGGACAGCACTGTTTGGGGGAGAGGGTCTTTGGAAATCACCCCAGTGCCTCCCCTGGTGTTGGCACCATGGAGCCGAGGAATGGGGATGTGACCCTGGCTGTCCTTACATTACCGTCGGATCCACCCGTGGGAGGAGCTAGCCATCCCTGTCATTTCCAGAAGAGATCACCCCCCCATTGTCCCTTCAGGAGTCATTTCTCAGCCCCACAGCCTCATAGGAAGTACCAGATTGGGAGGCGGGGGCGGGTGTGGCGTGCCGTCAGTAGGGCTTCAATCGGGGGGACCAAAGACCTTGCTTAGAATTCTTTCCACTCTGAGCTTCAGTTTCTCCGGGGTCGGGGTGGGCAGCAGGACATCTCATAGCCAACCAGAGAGTGGATTAGGCAGACACTGATGGGTACCTCCTATTTCCCGGAAGGGCCCCCTCCCTCACAGAGCTTGTCTTCTGGAAAGTAGGTGGATGAGGCAGCATGATGGTCACCTGCCTGGATTCTGCAGCCATATGATCCAGGTTCTAGTCCTACCTCGGCCACTTACCTACTGGGCAAACTGGAGTGAGAAATAACCTTGCTGTTTCCCAGTGTCCCGTATGTACAATGGACATAATGTGCCTATTTCCCAGAATAGAGTCAGACACAGAGGGCTCTTTGCCATACCCAGATCTGCGCCTCCCTCAGCAATTCAACCTCCCCTTCCCCTCTGCAGACTCTCTCCCGATATTGTGCCTTGGCACATGCAAAGATCCCTGTCCTCGCTTTCCTTCTCTGTGGGGGTGAACACCCACTTCCAAGAATTGGCTGACATGTCACCCCAAAGAGCTAGTCTTTCCCTCGACCCCGCAGGGTTAGGGCCCCTTTTGGTGTCTCAAAACTGCTGGCTCCTCTCCTGACCCAGCCCTGATCAGCCAGTCTGGGGGACACCATAGTTGGGGACGGGGGGAGGACTGCTTACGACCAACTCCGTGTCCTGGCACGCCTGGCACATGGGAGCCCTTTGAATGAAGATGACTGTGTGGGATCAAGTTGGGGACCCTGAGATGCATCAGATCTCTGCTGCTTTTTCTCTCTGGCCTCCCCAAGGCTGGGGTCAGGCACCTCCTCTGGTTTCCCGCAGGGTCTGGAGCTTTCCGCATCACTTTAGCTGCCACTGTCTGGTCAACGTATGCCTGCCTGACAGGGCCCAGGGCTACCATACCAAGCCCAGCGACAGAGTTGTGGGCATGCAGAGAGGTCCGAAGTGGGGAGTGGAGAGCGTCTACAAAGACTGTTTATGCACCAGAACAGCACGCTTGTAAACGTGGCATTCGGTGCAGATTCCTGACTCCAGTCTGCGTGTGGGAAACCTACCCTCTCAGGCCTCCCGCGGGCCAGAGATTGCCAATGCTCTCCCCTTGGCTTTCCGCGGAGCGCCTGCGGTTTGCGAGGCCAGAGCGTGGACCAGGGGAGGCCTCAGCAGCTGACTGGGATCGATGTGTTAAGGGACCCCAGGGAAGTAGTAGAGGAAGGGCAGGAGGCTTGCGATGAGCCAGTGGAGGAAGAACCAGCGGCCGCACGAGCCTGTAGGACTACAAATCCCAGGAGGCCGAGAGGCAGGCCTCCCACCGCCTTCCCAGAGCCACGTCTTTCTGCAGTCATCGAGTGACTCACCAAGTCCTCTCGCAAGCTTCACCCGCTCCTCCCACGTGGGGTTCGCCTACATTTCCCAGAAGCCTGAAAGACCACGCCCCTCGCAATGAGGTCGGAGAACTGCAGTCTCCAATCAGAGCTCGGGCCCCGCCTCTCCACGCCTCGGGGTATTTTGGGAAATGTAGTCCGGTCGCGTGCCTACGGGTAGGAAAATCGAAGCCTCGTAGTCCTTAACATTCGCTTACACATCAACATTCTCTTACACTGTAATCGGCGCTCTGATCTTACAGACAAGTTTTTCAGAACACGTATGGATTCCTATGGGGAGATCATAGCCATTTTTTACAAGGTGAAATAAAGTCATATAAAATATCAGTACGTGTAGAACATGGTAAGAAATATTTTTCAACATTTAGGCATTTGAGTATGTACTGAATTAGAATATGAAATTTGATATAAAGTTTCTTCCTTTGCCTGGAAAAAGTTTGCTAAACACCGGTTCAAACCAATCTAGTTTCTTACAAAACAACAAAAAACAAAGATGAAACTTTTTATTTGGAAATCATTTAAAACTTTTTGATAACCTGCGCAAATATAAATACTGTAGTACATACACACACTCTTTATCCGGATTTGTTTATTGTTAACAGTTTACCCCATTTTGGCTTTATCATTCTATATATCCATTCACCCACTCACCCATCCATCCTAGCCCAATCAGCAGGGACAAAACCCAAATCAGATTTGTTGACCCATTGCAATGAGAGAGACCACACCCTAGAGGAGGAGCTGTGTTTGAGTTATAGGATTTGGGGGAACAGAGAAATTTGGGTGAAACTTAAGTGAAACGGTGTTTTGATAGGTTCAGAACAAAGCAGGAATGTGTATAAGTGAGTCAACATCAGGTCTGAACTGCAAAGTGGACCCAGGATCTTGTTTCCTTGGAAACTACAATGTTAATATAAATGTGGCATGTCGTGCCCAGAAACTATTTAAAGCTCTGCACCAGGGCTGGAAATTGAGGTTTCTTATGTGTCAAAGTGGCTGAGATCTTCCAGGCAAGAAAGATTCGGCTGTTTCATTCTTACGGATATACCTTCAAACAGCAAAGTTTCCAACAATCTATAATTTTAGAGATCAGGGTTTCTCAGTGAGTAAAAACGGCATTAGCTACTCACAAAAGGAGTTGTTAGGACACGTTACAGCTGCCTTGCATCCCTGGGTGAAATGTTTCCTGACAACTTTGCAGCTGGCTTTATCTGGGTCTGTAGGTGGATGGCAGGGCAGAGTTTTACAGTATGAGCTGGTTTTAGTTCCTCAGTATACACACATATTTCCTGGGGCATGCAAGGGTTATTTACACACACCATGGCCCTTCACCCCTACATTGTTCAGTTTGCATTTCCCAAGAATAGAGATATTCTCTAACATAACCACAGTAATCAACCTCAGTAAATGTAACATTTATGCAATACTTTTATCTAATCTACTGGTTGATATCCTTCGTAGCGTTTCCCTCTCCAGTTCAGGATCCAGTCTGGGGTCGGGCATTGCATTTCGTTGTCATGTCTCTTTAGCCTCCTTTAATCTGGAATATTTCCGTATTTATGATATTGAGATTTTGGAAGAGCAACTCCTCGCTCTTTTAAAAATAGAAGTTCCACGTTTTTGAGTTTGTCTAATGTTTCCTTGTGATGATTAGTTTCAGATTATACATTCTCCACCACAATATATGAGGTGAGGTGTGTTCTGCTGTGAAGGTATCCCATCCGGATACAGTGAATGTCCAATCGCCCCTCATCTGTGACGTTAGTTTTGATGATCCAGCTGAGGTGATCTCCTTTGCAATGAATAAGCAGTCTGTGGGCAGACACTTTAATATCAGGCAAATATCTGGCTCCTCATCAAAATTTCCCCAGATTTAGCATTCATCGATGATTCTTCCCTTATGCCATATATACCATAATGGTTGCAAAATGATGATTTTCCAGCACTGGTACCACCTCCACATTTGCCGGTCAACACTCAGCATTCTATTATAAGCAAAAGTCCATCTCTTTCCCCTCACTTGTCCATTTATTATGAAACAGATTCATGAATTCCTATTTTTTCCATGGTTTTAGTTTATTACCCTTTTTTTTTTTAAAGCACTTCCTTAACTTTATGGCATAACAAGATTTCCAGGCTAATCTGTACTTCATCTTTTGTCTGTCTCGACCCTGAAATCAGATGTTTCCCCCAAGGAGCCCTGGGTCCTTTTAGTGGGGAGTGGTATTAGAGACCAAGATCTGGGTGCTAGGTGTGCTCGGTGCCATTGAGCTATGTTTGCTTCTTGGTCTTTTTAGCAGACAGAGCAACCTGGCTCCTTTACAGAGATGGGAGAACTAAGGCTGTGAGAGGTGTCTGTACACAGGGATGCTTTCAGCAAAACACTCTAAGCCAAATGGCTTAAGCCAAATGGCTCAAATACTTATTGGTTAAAGCGATTCAGGATGGTGGAAGCAATCACATCCAGCAGGCAGACACCCATCTAGGGAGCAGGAGGCCCAAAAACTTTCCCACTGAAACTGGACCCAAGAACATCTGTTACAGCAGGAGAGGAGGAAGCCAGATGCGCAAAAGGACTTCCTAAGGAATTCATGGGCAGCTTGGGTCTGAGGCAATGATCAACGACCTTAATTTTTTTTTTGAGTAAGCATGAGTTCAAAGCAATTCAGAGAATTCAGTGGCACAAGTGCCAGCAAATATCGAGCATTTGGAGATCTCCATGTGACCATATTTCCTCTTCTTACAAGGGTACTGTTCAGATTGGATTAGGGCCCACCCTAACGGTCTCATTTAACCTTAATCACCTCTTTAGAGACCGTGTCTCCAAATACAGTCAGATTCTGAGGTGTTAGGGGTTAGGGCTTCAACACACGAATTTTGGGGGGACACAATTCAGCCCATCACCATATCTTACTGTATGTTGTCTGCAACTTGCTTTTTAAAGGCAAACGCCTTACTAAGATTTGTTCGCGTTGGTGCCTGTAGCTATAGTTCGTGCATTTTCACTGTGGTATGGTATGAAAATGATAAAAAATACAGGGAGAGATTGATGAAATGGATTTGGGAAGAAAAGAAGATTAACAAAACCGAAAGCTATTTTAATGTTTGAAAAAGTTACTAAGATAGACTGACTTGGCAAAACCAATCAAGAAAAAAGGGAGAGGCTGGAAATAAAATACAAACTGTAAAATGGTGAATAATTATAGCCAGGGCAGAGATATAAAAAGTAATGAAATTATATTATGGCTAACTTTGTGCTAACATTTAAAAGCCTCGATGAAGTGGTTCAATTACTAGAAAAATATAAAATGCTAAAATGACACAAAATTAGAGAATTCGAATAAGCCAGTAAGTATTCAAGTATTTGGAGTTATATTCGAAGATTTCCCCTCTCCCCAAAAAAACTCCAGGCACAGATGGTATTCTAGGCAAGTGATACCAAACATTCAAGGAATGTTTAATTCCTATCTTATATGAATTATTCCAGAAAATAGCTGGAAAATTATGTAATAGCTGCTCGAGGCTAATGCAATGTTGATTCCAAAACCAGGTAAGGACAAGAAATGAAACTTATAGGTTTATTTCATTTGTGAATGAAGATGCAAAAATCCTAAATCAAATAATTACCTATTAAATCCAATGTATCATAATTCATCACAAACAAGTAGAATTTAGCCCCCTAATGCAAAGATGGTTCAAAAAAATTTTTAAAAATCATTCAGTGTAAATCACTGTATCAATAGATCAAGGAAGAAAATATAATGATTTTTATTGATGTGAAAAATAGTTTGATAAGGCTGTATATCTATTTATGATTAAAAATTAAAACACTTAACAAACTAGAAAAAAAGGGAACTCTCTTAACTTCATAAAACTTCCAGGAAACACTATAGAAATTTTGGATGCCTTTTCTTTTAGGTTAAGAACAGACTAGACTATTGCTTTACCTAGGACTGTATATAAGTAAATTCTGAGTAACGCTTTACTGAGACAGAAAAAAAAAAGAGGTATAAAGACTAGAAGGGAATTGAGAAAGCTGCTATTATTTGAACATGATATAATTGTGTACCCAGTAAAACCAATAAATCAACGGCCAAACCGTTAGAACAAACAATAAGAGATATCAATAAGGTCTCCAGTTACAAGATTAACCTTTAGAAATCATTATACAAACAACAAACAAGCATAAAATATTAAAAATACTATACACAATCCCACCAAAAGGCAGAAATCCTCTAGAAATTAGCAAAGAAGAATACACAAGATTCTGTCAAGAAAACTTAATCTCTAATAAAGAAACTTGAGGATGATCTGATTAAAAACAAAGACATTCTCTGCTCATGGTGGGGGTGATTAAATATTATACAGATGTCAAAACCTCACGAATAATTTGTATATTTAATATCATTGCAAGCAAATTTCCACTTGTTTCTATTTTAACAGCTTGAGATTCACATAAAATACAATTCACACATTTAGAATGTACAATTCAATGGTTCTTAGTGTATTCACAGTCAATTTTAGAACATTTCACCACCTCAAAAAGAAACCCTGCACCCTTTAGCTCTCATCCCTCTACCTCCCCAGTTTTCCCCACTCTGCCCCAGCCCTAAGAAATCACGAATCTACTTTTTGTCTCTAGAGATTTGCCTATTAGGAACATTTCATATGAATGGAATCATATACTCTGTGGTCTTTTATGACTGACGTCTTTCACTTTGCCTAATGTTTTCAAGGTTCATCCATGCGGTAGCATTTGTTAGTACTTCATTCCTTTTTGTGGCCAAATAACATTCCATTGCATGGATAGAGCAGATTTTGTGTATCCATTCATCTGTTGATGGAAATTTGAGTTGCTTTCCCCTTTTGGCTATTAAGAATAATG